CCAGGAGAAGTTTCTTTTGCTTTGAAACAGATATCAGGTCATATCAAAGACAGTGGATGATCACAATTATGTTGCTAATTATGACAAACAGTACTCGTACATAACAGTGATGACAAAACATACTGGGAAAAGGTAAAATCATGCCTACAAAGAACAAATTTGCACCAAGAGATACACAGATCAATAAAGGCGTATTTTGCTTCTAAATGAATCTTGCATGTATGAAATATATGTTGAAAACTTATTGATATCAGCAATGATGACAAATATTACTTGTACATAACAATGATGACACAATGTATTGGAAAAAGGTATATCATACCAACAAAGAACAAATGTGTATTTTTGAGTTAAACAGATAAACAAGGACATGTTTGTTTATTTGTTTGAGTAAAGAGAGCACACATTACTTTAAAAATGTTTGCTCTTAGGACAATGTAATTTCTAGTACGTCAGTCAGTCTTGTACGGCTGCATGACAACACCCCAAACGTCATCACTGAGCACAAAAGCTAAATCTATAACCACAGAAATGATCCATCTCTTGAAGTTTGTTCACACATCACACTCTTGTTCCAGGAATCCAGTGTAAACACCGCAATTTCACTAAAATATTCAACAGAGTAGCCTAAAAACACGCAGAACAGCCTAGTACGTCACATTCAACGCAAAATACTTGTTCGTCACCGGACGCTGAAGGCAATGACTACTTTCGTTTTTCTGTTGCTTCCGTTGTTCTGGGGATGCGGGTAAGGGGAAGTCACTCAAGAAAACAATTATATCCGGGCACTGTTGATGACCCGTTCAAAACAAAAGTGGGCGAAATTCGGACTTCCGGCACGTCGCAAATTGACGACAATAACGGCGAATGTTAAACAGCCGACCGAAATCGTAGATCTAGGAACCCGATGTTCCTTTCGCGCATCGCGGCTTTTGAAGTATTGAATAAACGACGATAGGCAAAAAGATTTAACCAGCTACGGTGATTCTACTGAAAAATAATGGTGTTTTCTGAAACACCTAGTCCGTGAGGACACGACAGACGCACAAGTAATCGGAATTGTTCGTCTATTTGCAAACAAATAAACCGATTTCTTGAGCAAGTTAGCCTTTCTCAATGACAAATAGCATAGGATCAAAGCACACGTAAAAAAAACCCACCCAAAAATACTAAATTTTGGACATTCTTGGAAGTTTGCATTGGTGTGCTCAAAATGACACTCCAGGAATCACTAAAAAACGAACATTTTTGGCACAAAATTTACAAACTCAAGATTATAAAGCTGACTGCTAATGCAGGTTCTACATCCTATATTTGACGTGTGTATACGTTTTGGAGGAATAAATACTAATGCATCACATTTTATGCACACTAATGTGAGATGTGTGTGTTTTTCCCCATGTTTTGGCAATGGCTCATATAATAATAATCGACCTCTCTCCCCAGGTGAGACTTGCCAGCATTGGTTTTTCTCATCTGGTGTGAAACAAGACCTGTTTTTCCTAATTTCTGAATAGGCCCTACTTACTGTCTATCAGTGTGGATGATCAATTGAGCCAAACGACGTCAGCCACAATTTTGTTTTGAGTAATATTTTAATTAGAAATGGGGGGCCTTCATATATGGACACCATTAAAATATTTTAAAGTCAACATGGCAGTCACCCTGGATTTGTCGTTGATCCCAGCATATGATAGGGTTTGGAGAAAAGGCCTCTTGTGGAAGAAGACACAGACAGGAATCCACAGAAAACTCTACGGATGGGTGAAGACCTTCCTTACAGACAGGACAATCCAGACCAGGATGAATAATAGTGTGTCATCCAAAGCTGTACTGGAGGAGGGCCTAGGGCAGGGTTCCTCTCTGAGCTGCACAGTCTTTGTTGTTTTCAACGACCTGCCTGAGATACTGAAATCGGAGAAGGCCCTTTATGCCGACGACCTAGCCATCTTGCATTCAAGTATACAAGTTGTTATCAGTGCAGAAGCCTTCCAAGCCATGATAGGAGGAAAGTGTGCACCACTCACTGTCATTGATGCTGTAACAACAAGGACACAGACATGGACGGGTGGATCAACACCTTCACTACAGCAGTGACTGACACAGCCAGTCAGGTCCTCGGAAAACACTGACGAGTCAATAAGCCCTGGGTCACAACTGACATCCTTAACCTGTGTCACAAAAGGAGAAAACTATTTTAAAGGAGAAAAAGAACCAACCAGATGGTGCAAAGGAGTACAGTGCAGTCAGCCAAAAAATTAAAACAAGTATGAAAAGGGCAAAAGAAAATTGGATCGAGGAACAATGCCAAATAATTGAAGACAGCCTGAGGACAAACAACAGCAAAAAGAGCATATCAATTAGTAAAGGACCTGACATGCACTAAAGAAGGGCGCACCACCACCATTCAAGACAAAGAAGGAAAATGCCTGACAGAGGAGCAAGACATTTTGAAAAGATGGACAGAATACTGCTCAGAATTGTACAACTACAAAGCCACAGGAAACCCTGAGATACTAAACGTTCCCCCAGCAACCAACCTCGATAACCACCCAATCCTTCGAGAGGAAGTTGAAGCAGCAGTAAAAGCACTGAAGAAAGGAAAATCGGCAGGTGTGGATGACATCCCAGGAGAATTAATACGGGCAGGGGGAAAGGACATGATAAGCGCTCTGACTGTCATCTGCAACAAGATCTGGCAGACAGGAAAGTGGCCAACACCATGGACACAATTGCTAGTGATTACACACTCCTTATTCGGAAGGTGCGGAGACTCTCTAAATATTACCCAAATGTCCCCAAATTTGGCAACCAATGAGAAGAAAGATGGATCTTTCCATTGCGGATTTCCGTATTTTAATCGAGCTTGAAACAAGAAAGTTACAAGGTAGTTTAATTCTTGTAGGAAGTTCTCGAAACTGTGTATTCGATTAATCTGTGGAATGCTCTTGCATCATCTTAGATAGGTTGAACTTTATAATATTAGAAGCTATTTTGTGAAATTCCTCATGATGTAAAACAATCGCATTTTTTAAAAAGCTTCGGCGTCTTTCCTTTTATTTTTTTTTTTTTTTTGCGTGGCCCAAAAGCCAGAAAGGGAAATACTGCTGCACTCAGTAAACACTTGCCGCCAGCTCGCTGTGATGCCACTGATTGGGTAGTTATTTTAATTGACCTGCACGGGAAACACTACTCATGGATTAGGATGTAATGGGATTTTCAAAGTTTTCTGTGGTTATTGTTTTCAAATCTGAAATTCTGTCTTGGCAACTGACCTGCTCTAATTAAAACCTTAAATTGCCATTGTGTTTTTATGTAGGCAACTTGTGTGAAATTAATACCAGTGTCTGGTATTTTGTCCCAGAGGAAAAAACTGGTGTTTAACCCTATCCGTACGCCCAGGGGTCATTTTGTAACCCCGGGGTTGTATTCTTCACATTTTAGAATACTTCTTGTACGAAGATCTCTTTGAAACTTTCAGTATTTCTCAAAAAAATCATTTTGACAGACTGCTATGCAAAGCATACAGATTAGATTAACATGTAAATTTTCTCTTTGGAAAGTGATGGCACAGAGTTCCCCACGTCGTATGGATACGATAGTAAAACACGACGTACGGATGGGGTTAATCCATCCAAATCAAAAATGTCCAACCAATGATTGGAAATAATTGGAAAATAAAACCATTTTGTTTTATGGCCTTTCATAAAAAACAAGAAATTAGACCAGGTACTTTGACTAGAAAGGCAAGCATTTAGGACTCATGCCGACGCATCGGACACATTTGTTCAGGCTCCAACGAGTTTTAAAGATTCCTATGGTACACATCCTAAGGGATACAAGTTTGGTAACTAGGGAAGTAAAAGTTTAGTCATTTTTATACGTGTTTATATCCCTTTGACCATTGACTAATTGAACTGATGCTGTTTTTCGAAGAGTTTTTTGTTCAAGCCATAAGCGCATTGAGTAATCGAAAGTAGATCTGACGAAGAGGATGGAGTAGTTGTTGATTTATAATGTGAATCTTCTAGTTCTTTAGCAGACAATGGTTCTCCTTTCTCCTGATCCAGATGATGAGGAAGAGGTGGGTCTACTTGTGCCTGGAGGAATTTTTTTTTAAATTTATTTTAATATTTATATTGTTATAGTTTCTATAACTGAAAACCATTTTTTGTTCTGTCTCTAAAAGTAATGATTTTATGGGCCCTTAAAAAAAAGCTAAAGTTCATGCGTCGCCAGAGAATGCAGTGAACTTTGCTACCGTCGATGTGAACGGTTGACTGGCTTGTGGTGAATAAGTGGCTTGTTTTAATTATCGGCTTGTTGTTGATGACTGGACAGAGTGCTTGACCCCCCCTGTCTTAGCTCTTTCTCTCATGCCTTTCCCCCCTCTCTCTCTCTCTCTCCCACATGATGGACATTATAGATTGCATATCGTATGCAGGTGGTTTTAAAGGATCGTTTCATACACTGATCTGGTAAAGAATGCCTGCAGGTTGTAGGCCCTACCTATTCATGATGGCTATGGACAGAGGAGCAAAGTCTTATTCTTTTCTCGTAAATCTCCCTGCTCAAGTACACTTTGTTGCATGTCACCCATTCCTGCACCTAGGGGTCTTTTTCTTTGACAAAAATATATTGATATGTACAGCCCAACTGGCTAGTTTACTGCTGATCATTTCTCAGAAAATTGGGGGGGGTGGGATTGTTTTGTTTCTTTGCGGAGGTAAAAGGGTGGATTTACTAGGACATTCACACAAAAGCTTGTTGGTTTGGTCACTCTCTCTTCATAAACATTTTTTAAAACTATCTACATCAGTTTAAATGAAATGAATGCTAATCAAGAGAAAAAAATTGTAACCAGATCCCACTTCAAGAATTCAATGTTTTTGAGTCACGTCAATTCTAGGCTGCTGTACTGTTTATTAAATGTAACTATGCTCGAATTAAGTGAATTGCATGATAACTTTATAGTAGCAATGCAACATTTTGTTTTGAAGGTCTGTACGTGGAACAACAGCCAGAGAGTATGAATCATCATTGACAAAAATCTACACTGTGGATACAGTCCAGGTAAGCTTACTTTTGGTTCTGAATCTAATGCAGTTCTTCTGTCTTCATCATCTTTGGTCAGCTAGCCCATGTACTCTCAACTCTTTGTCAGTGGATGGTTGGTGGGTGCTCTGGTGTGGTTTGCTCCTTCTTTCCCCTCAAAATTCTATCATCCTTATCTCCCCTCGTTCTATTTTATGTTTGTTACTCTCTTGTAGCACCTCTAATCTTGAATCTTCTGGCGCTCATATGACCTTATGCAGTTGCGAGCGCTGTAAAACCTCTACTAAAACAAAACAACTCTTTGTCAGCATCCTCGTATAGTCCTTTCAGGGACATTTTCTCTGTGTTGTTCCCCTGGGGATCCATGTCCAGGTATGTCCAGGTATGATGTGCAGTGCAAGCTACTGGCTTCCTCAAAGTTTAACCAGCCAATCTAAATAATCCCCCACCTTCAACTTTTTGTTGTATCTGGTTCTCTCTCCATTTACATTTGTTTAAAAAAATGTTCAGTAAGTTATCATAGACCAGGAAGCTGGATAACTCCTCCAGGAGTTTAATTATTTCTGATCAAGTTACTCCTCTTCTGTTAGCTAATGTAATATTTTTAAGTGTTCATATTCAAAGTCACTGTCAGTGGAAAGGCATGTTTGTTTGGGGGTTTGATTGTTATTTAAAGTATGAAAAGGACAATGACAAAAGTAGGCTTTAATTCTTTTGTTTTTAAGCATTTTTGCTTATTCTTCATGTAGTTTTGTTGCTTGATTTTAAAAAATAAATTTTTACTTCATTTATTACTAGCTCATCTAATGTCTACTTAGCTCAGTGATTTCAGAGATAAAAATTACACAATTCATCGGGGGGGGGGGGGGGGGGGGGGGGGGGGGAGTTCCTACACCTTTTGTGTCATAGGTAAGACAATTTATCATGTTGGGGCGGGTTGTTAAGGGGAGTCTTGAGTGTTTTGGGGGGGGGGGGTTTATTTCTTGTCTAAGTAGCCTAAATGCATTTTTATATAAGACTAGCAGCAGGTTGCGTTTTTCTGTGACATAGTCATAACTAATTTTTCATCATGAAAACCACAGGGTTTCTGGAGTGTTTACAACCACATTCCAGAACCAGACAAGCTGAGCATCCGGTTCAGCTACCACTTGATGCGGAACAATCGACGACCTGTGTGGTAAGTACTGTTGAACCTGCTCGAACAATCACCTGTCCTAGACTCTCACCTGTACAAACGATCATTTCCCACTTCCCTGCTTGTGTTTTATTTCAATTATTTATGATGGATGGCGCTGTCCAAGAGGACGACCTATTGAAGATGACCACTTTTATCTTCCACAGTAGGATTTTGTCTTTGACAGGTCCAACTGTGGTTGTTATATGAAATTTTAGTTGTGGGTTTCTTTGCTATGCTCTCTTAACTCACCCAGCCCTCACGCCGATAATATCGGTATGGAAGATTTCGCTCTTATGATCGAATAAACTACTTTTGTGTGAAGCAGACTGTAGCCTAATTGGAAGAGTAACCATTTTTCGTTTGAAACAGACAATGACCAGAAGTGCAAGCCCGAATTTAGAACAAAGAAAGCTGTATTCGTGAACCATGTGAGAGGGTGCGAAATTGGAACGCACTTCCTTTCTTCCCTTTTTGTTTACTTTTTTACTCTGTATATATAGACCTTTTTCCACGGAGTATTGCATAAAGACTATGGCATATTTTGGCTTCAAATTTTCAACACAAACAAATAAAGGTTTGAATAAAATGTGTACGAAATGTGGGTAGGATATGTTAAGATTTCGTATTTTTTTAAATTTTTCAAAAAGTGGTAAAAATCTATAGGGAGAGCTGACAAGCCGTAAGTGTAAGGCGAGGGTTGAGTGAGTTAAGTGAATGTCAGATAAAGCCCTCTGTCAAGTTCTGCTGTATTTTCTTGCAGGGAAGATGAGGAAAACAGTGACGGTGGCAACTGGACTTTCAAATGCAAGAAAAATGATACGGTATGGTTCTCAATTTGTGTGCTTTTCACACTTTTTTGTCCACCATTCATGAAAATTGTTTACAGTTTCTGTAGTATAGTGGTTTGGTGCTGTACCATTGCTTGCAGAAGACTTGAGTTCGATTCATGTGACGAGACAATTTTTACCTTGTACAGTGAAAGTCGGTTATAACAAAGTCAAAGTTTGTTAAATCCATGTGCTGGTGTAACTGACATGAGCATTTTTTAAATTGGTAATGATTGGAAAAGCTGTTCTGAAAGCGTCATGTCATGAGTATAAAGGGACAAATCCAAAGTTCCTCAAAATACTTGCTTATATGAGTGGATGCTTCCCTATAAACAATACTGCCGTAAGTTGACAAAGCGCCTTTTTTTATTCACAGCCTTTTCGAGATAAAGAGGGGTTTTGTTTTGGTCAACATAAGCATTTAATCCTTTGAGCCCTTGCCCATCGGTGGTGCGTTAAACTGCCTGTATGCCTAGCCATGGGTATACCAGTAAGCGAGACGGTATGGCCAGCCTGGGACAAAGTGCACACGGAAAACAGTGTTTACTACACACAATGTTATTTAATTATTTTGAAGATCTTTTTTAATTAGATGCTGGTAATGACGAGGACTACCCTGAGTGGGACATGGAAAGTAATTCTGATGATCTTATGGATGTAAGTAATACATTGCTCAGGAGTTCAGGCAGAGGGGCAGGGTAGCATCAGGAGGTCAGGGCTCAAAGCCTTCTTCCGATATTTGAATTCTAATTTATTCAAAAACTTGTCACAGTTTCACTTTGATTTTTTCACACAGGTAAGGTAAGTGATCAGACTTTCGATTTAGCAAATTAAAAAATTTGGCACCAAAAATACTAAAAGACGCTTTGTCAGCTTACTGCAAATTAGGTTCAAGCTTTTACAAGGGATTAACTTCTTGGTTGTTTTTTTTCATGAGAACCACACCAGAACTTTAACATGCTTTATCAACATATCCTATTACAGGTGTTCACTGTCTCTTCAGTTCTCGTGTGTCTCTGTCCATGGCTGCTCATACCAATCTTACCCCTTGTAACTTGTCTTTAAAAGAAAAAATATGAAAAAGAAAAAAGTGTTAGAGAGTTGGATGCACTGCTGTATTCACCTCTAAATTCGCTCCGCCCATTTTCGACTTCATAGATAAAGAGCAAGTTGCATCCAAACAAAAGTTATTACATCTCTTTCCTGCTCAATGTGTCCCAGACTAACATTGAAAACTTAACTGCAGTGGTGCTACGGAAAATTGAAGTGGTGTTGCTAAATACGTTGTACTACATCAAAGCACTGGCTGTGTAAAAAGGCAGATTCTGTCAAATACACACCTGTGTTATATGACATTAGCAATACGCACGCCCCGCGCCAGCAGTGTAAAAACGTGGTAGACTTGCTCCAGCCAGGGGTAAACCCAGGAACATGCTAATTTATGGCACTATTTCTTTCATCAGGCCCATGTATTATACATCAATACACCCGGGAGAAATTAGGGCTGTCAATGAAGAAAATATTTTTCCGATATCTTCAGCAACAGGTAGGAAGGTGCGGAGACCATCTAAATATTACACTAACGTCCCCAAATTTGGCAACCATTGAGAAAATTCCTGCTTTTTTTTTTTTTTTTTTGTTGTTGCCCTTTTTGACTTCCTCAATCAAAAGTAGTTTGGTTTCAAAAGAGGAGCCTTTTTGTTTCTTTACCTAAGAAATGCTGGAAAATTCTCGGATATACACTGAACTCTACTGTAAAGTTACCTGGCGGTCCGATGAGTCGGGTCTGTCAGGGGGCCCCCGTCCAAGATAAGTGTTGCCTCGTCGTGGTCCTGAGTTCGACTGAATATCTCAGTTAGTCTCTCAGACGATGTCTCTCTATTTGGCGCCGGACTCTTGATGTCATCCAAGGGCGTGCCACTCCCCTAATAATCTTGTCCCCACAGTAAAGATAAGAGTCATGTCCCTTGACATCACACTCTACCAAGCAAACTTTGTGCAAAGGGACTAATTCGTTCCAATGCACACCTGTGTCATCAATGACATTGTTTGCTGAACAAGTTGTGTTGCTGTGTAAGCCTAGTGTCTGAGTTATTTTTTTAAAAATTTATTAATAGCTAAAAAAGCGGGGAATCCACCTCTTTTCGTTGAATCCGAGTTCCATTGTATTGTTCTTTACGTCTGTGTTGTTTATAGGTTAGCATTACATATGGTTTAAAAAGCTGTGGTATTTCTAATGACATTGATTGAAGAACATGAAGTATTGTACTGTAGTGTCAGCAACATATGTGTTGGTGTGGAAGGTGGTCTCTGATTGGTTCACATACAGTAGCTGTGTGGGTGGTTGGCGGGTGCTCGGGTGTGGTTTGCTTCTTCTTTCCTATCAAACATCTATCGTCCTTATCTCCCCTTCTTCTTTTTTATGTTTGTTGCTCTCTTGTGACACCTCTAATCTTCTGGCGCTCATATGACCTTATGCAGTTGCGAGCGCCGTAAAACCTCTACTAAAACTAACCTGGCCCCGCGGAAAATTGCATTTTTGAAATTAAAAAATTGCAAGGTAAACTGCCTAAAAATTGCTAAAAATTGCAACCTTCCCATCCCTGGTGCATTAATACGGGCTTAACATTTTTAGTTTTTTTAAAAATGACAATTTGAGTACCGGTAGCATAAAAGCAGAACGGTCTTTTCAAAAATCATGACCCACAATACAAATTTTATTAACAAGATTTACTAGTAACAACACTCGAGTGCATTAACAATAAAGTTATCGACCAAAGATAATATAATATCGCGTGACACAAAATAACGGAACCCTCGGTTTTCGCAATAACTTTTAAATGAAGGCATAAAATTTGACCAAATTTAGTACATACCGGGTACTGGGTTCTTGCAAAGATCTAAAAGTGTAGTATGAGGTTTAGTCTATAAAAACAAAAAATTTGATGGGAGATTTTCTAAACAACCTCTAAATGCAAAATTAGCTTATGCTCCAATCAATTCAGATCCTGTTCTATTTTTCTCTTGAAACCTTCGATACACCGGTAATCTGTGTTTGGATCTATTTCAGATATTTTCTTTTTTAAAACCAGTATGGTATTGTTTTAACACTAAGTCAAATCGTAAAATAAAGAATTTTTTTTTTCTAATTTATAAACTATAGTAATAATAATGTAGATCATTTCTGTAGCGCCCACTCCCGTGTGAACGCAGCCTAAGGCATTTTACATAACGGAGTGTCTACGTACATGGTAACGGGGCCCCTAGCCTCAGTGTCTACGTACACGGTAACCGGGCACCTAGCCTCAGTGTCTACGTACACAGTAGACTAGAGGTGTGCGAGTCCAGCATATTAAGATTCGAGTCCAGACTCGAGTATCTGCTCTGGACTCGAATAATTACTCGAGTAATTACTCGAGTCCCACGGCTCTTAAGACTCGAGTAATTACTCGAGTAATAGTATCCCGAAAGGGAATTTTAGTGGGTTTCAAAAAAAGTTTTGTTGAATATCGGACACAAAATAGAGTGCCTTCCTAGGAGGGAGCTTGAGTAGGCTTATGGCAATTCTAGACATATGCTGTTTATACCGTATTTATTTTATTTTATCTTAGGAAGTGGTTATTCTCACCCCAGGTGAGAATAAAATTGTGATCGACCTCTCACCCCGGGTGAGACTAGCCAGTGTTGGCTATTCTCACCCGCTGTGAAACAAAACCGGTTTTTCCTAATTTCTGAACACTTCCTATCGGTGAGGATGATTAAATAGTCAAACCCCTTTTTAAAAAAATGATATTATAACACAAAAGTAAAACTAATTTGGTGGTCTACAAAGATGCTACGGCTATTTCACTTTTAGAATAGAGCCGAACTACCCTAATCGGCATTTTGTTTTGCCCAGAAGTTCTCACTATATCTAGGCTACTCCTCTCTCTCTCTCTCTCTCTCTCTCTCTCTCTCTCTCCCTCTCCCTCTCCCTCTCCCTCTCCCTCTCCCCCTCTCTCTCTCTCTCTCCTCTCTCTCTCTCTCTCTCTCTCTCTCACACACAATGACCGCAGATAAAATTGTATGTTTTTAACACAAGAGGACTGGAACGTTTGTTTACACCACAGAATTCAATTTTAAAAAGTGTAGATCTAGAATTCTGTGGTTTACACTGGGTATCACGGCAAACGCACACCGGAAGAGAATAGCCAAAAGACTCGCTCTCTCACCCCGGGTGAGTGAGAAGCTTACAACTCAGTATAACAACTAAGCTAGAATAGAGGTGGTCTTTATCTTATCTTATCTTATTTTTTATTTTTTTTAAATAATTCTCTGTTACAACAGTAAGAATAAAATGTACACAGACTGTAAACCTCATAAATGCACTTCATAAAAAAAAGAAGTTTGATTGTGGTCATCGTGGGTTCTAACAGTGGTTTTTGCTTTTTTCTGGGGGGGGGGTTTCGGTTTTTTCCTTTGGGGGAAGGGGTATTTTTGTTTTTTTTGTTTCTTTTCCTTCAGTTTAAAAAAATTGCTTATCAGAATTTTTCTTTTATCAATTCTTAACTTTTTTAAAAACCAAATTTTTCTCCTTTTTTTCTGTTTTTCCCCCTACAGACTCGAGTCTGGACTCGAGTCTTTACTCGAGTAATTTACTTGTGACTCGAGTCTGGACTCGCCGCATGTATTACTCAAGTACTCGAGTCTGGACTCGTTACTCGCACACCTCTAGTACACAGTAACCGGCAACCGGTGTCACGTACACGGTATCCGGGCAGTTCAGAACTCCAAGTTCAGTTTTTGTCATCCCGTGTTGTCTTCAACCCTAGCCCTCTCCCAACTGTACCTTAAAAGAAAAAAAAATCAATAATCCCCCAATTCCGGAGCCCTATACTTCGCAGCTCACAAACTTTGAATGATTTTTGGTGACCCCAACCGGTACTCACAATGTGATGTAAAAGTACAGGTTCACTGACCGGTCATGATGGCGGGCCCGACAAGACGCTTGTACATACATGTATGACTTTCTTTTTTTTACAACAAGTGACAGCACAGGACAAATATTGATTTATTTTCATTCCGGTTACCATGTACGTAGACATGGAGACTAGGTGCCCGATTACCGCCGTGTATGTAGACACATGCTTCATGTACGATTACGAACAATATTCACATGCGCGCGCTCGCACACACACACACACACACACTCACGTACACCTTACACGCGCACACACATGCACACCACACACACGCACACACCTACTTTCTAGCACATGCACACGCTTACACACATTAGATCTATAGGTGTAGTATCTTTGGTCTCATTTTGTGTTGTATAATTTATTCCGGCCTGAATTTCCGGTTATAGCTTTTAGAGTACGCCCAGTAGGCTAGAGCTGGGCCGAAACCATACGTAGACCTATCGGTTCTTTACTCGCACCATTTCGTATTAAAAATTCTGTTAAAATTAAAGGGTTGATGTATTTTTGCCTAAAATTGCAAAAAATTGCGGGTTTATTGCAGAACTCGACGAAAAACGCAGCTGCGCTTACGGCCGCAAGACCGCGATTTTCTGGGGGGCCAGACTAGCTAAAACAGTAGCTGTACATCTCTGGATAAGTTACACCATAGGCTTACCTGTGTAATGATCCAGAAATTGGGGTGATGGTCTGTTCTTTGGAATGGGCAAGAGAAGATAGGTTTCTTATGGGAGAAAAATGCGCTGAGCTGTATCAGCGAGGGCTCATCACCCCACAAGCATCTTTGTTGAATCCAAGTTTGCTAATTTACGCATTTGTTATTTACAAGGTAATGTGTTGATTTTTAAGAATAACAAAAATGTGATTCTTTCTGCTGGGATGCTGTTTTCCTCTCCGCCTGGGTTGGCCCAGACAGGCAAGGTTGAAGCCCGCCTCCTAGATGATCTAAATTTTGTTTTAAAACATTTTCTTTAGTTGTTTTTTTTTTAAACGTCAAAATAAGATGCCGTTCTATTTAATTTTGTCTTTTGAGTTTTAACGACTCCTTTGAGCATGTTATTGGAGGACTCCACAGGATGACAACATGTCCGTTGGTATTGCATCATTAACTGAATCTTTTGGGGGGTTGGCACCATACTTTAACTCCATCTCTGGCAAGCAGCTCTCAGCCACTGAGCTGAGCCGCTGACAGCGGCTGGGGCACATTCCTTTACGACGAGTTCGACATCAAATTACTTTTCGGCAATTGTCGAAAACAGGTCTCTTATACCGGAAGTTCATTTATTAGATGAATAACTTGTTCGATTTAATTTTAATGACCCGTTTAATGAGGTTTTTGTCATTTTTAGATTTAGTACCAAAAAAAGGGCCCCCTCGGAAATAAAGAGTTAATCGTGTTCAAGATTTATTATTAGAGCTAATGCCAATAACTTTGTTTGCGTTAATTTTTTTTTGGGGGGGGTGTTAAACTTTTTGTCTCTGGTTTGTTTTTGGAACTGAAGGGATGTCCACTTAATTTTGTTTTGTGTTGATGAGAATAGCAATTGATTTAGTTTCTTTTTATACTTCTTTTTACCTCAGGATGACGTATGGAAGCATTTACTTCTGGCTGCTATAGGCGAACAATTGTCGGACTGCATGGCAGATGGTATGGCTTCTTGTTTTATTTTTTGTCTTTGTTCGTGGGGAAAATTATAAATAGATTTGTATTTACAATTGTGCCTTTCATTACGATGTGTCATACAAGTTGTAAGTACATTTTTAACATTTTTATTTCCCTGTTTTGTTCCTGATGAACTTTGAGTATTTTTATTACTTGTCCTGTCTTTCTGGTTTTGCAATATCCTGTTGAATTAAGGAAATGATATACACAATGGCTTTGAAAGGTGACACCTTTTTCATTACGTAAAAAGCTTGAGTTGGTAAAAGGAACTGGTTGGATAGTGATGCTCAAGCCTTTTAGGTGAAATGCTGCTGGAGTGATGGGGGCATTGAGTTACATGAAAATTTCTAACAGTGTCAGGTGGTGACTCCATTGAGAGGGGTGTCTCTGTGGTCTGTCCTTGAGCAAGCACAGTACCTCAGTCTAGATAACTGAACGCTGCTCTATAATGACTAGCTATTAATAATATTTACCTCAAGTTTGTTGTTTTCTATTTAGAATTTATAAGGGTGGGGGGGAGGGGGGAAGGCATTATATTCATCATTAATTCTGAGATGATTATCTGAAAATTCTGAAAAGGAACATTATAGGTATATTTTATTGCACTTTTTAATTATTATTTTTACCACAGATGATGATGTCATCGGGATCAGTGTCAGCATACGGGACAGAGATGACTTAATTCTTATCTGGAACAAAGAAGCGCGCCTCAAGGAGTCGTCCACCATTGTTCAAAAAGTGCGGGAACTTTTGCCCCACGTCACGTTCAATACTGTGTTCTACAAAGGTGAATGCTCTTGATTGTTGCTGTTTTATTGCTTTGTTCAGTTTGGTTGGACATTTTTGAACACAATAGAAAAGTGGTCTTGTTAGCAGCTGTAAAAAATATCCTTCTTTGCTGGTTGTTGAGAAATTCCCGAAACTATAGTTAGAAAATATTTGGGGAAGATGACAGGATTATAAAAAAAGAGGGCCTTCTAGCTCTGAGGTTACTTGCTTGCCTCTCATGCCTAAGTACATAGTTCAGGTCCCTGGGTTTTTTTTTAGGTATTTTGTTTGGGTTTTCTGCTCTGATTCTTCATTCCCCTTGTCCTATAGAAGGACATGAACAAACATTTGTTATTCTCAGAGGTGAATAGTTAACTTGAGTCTTCAGGTCTGCCCATCATAGGCCTGCGAATTTGACGGAATCGTCATGATTTTTATTCAATTTTACGAAAATACAATCGTAATGCCCTTGGTTTCAATTTTTTAAAGATTTGGCAACCCCAACTCACTGCCCACTTTCCCGGTTTATAAGGGGAGAAAAACTACCAGACCTGGACATTCAACGTCACTAGGAGCCCATCATGACTGCTTTTTTTCATCATGCCTTTGTTTGTGTTACTTTTATACCTGCTGAACTACAAGCCCTGTCCTTGACACCCCAGGGTAGAAAACAATCCATGGTCATATTACAAATTTTTAAGCCAGATTACTAATTTTTTATCTGCTGATTACTAAAACATAAGCTGGTAGGTGGGCAGCCCTGGGTCTTGTGTGCATGCTGCAGTCAACATTTTTATGACTCGTGCTTGTTAAATGTCACATTTATATGACATGTACTTTTTAACTCTAATGCTTGCTCAGGTTTATCGCTCTATTGGTAGTTGTCAGTGAAGCAGGTAAGCGGGCATTTTATGTATCATTTGATATAAATTTGGATCATGCTGAATTAAACTTTTAATGCATCAGGGGAGAATAAAGTTAACCTCCAGTTTTAAAAAGTCCTTCAGTTTTGGTACTTATTGGCTAGAAAAATTAACAATTTAAAGTGTTTCATATCAGAACTCTAGCTTGAAGGGGATAGTGAGAAGGCTTCTGAATTTTGCATTAACAGAAACTTGTGTAAGACAGGAACATGATGGAATCTGCCTGTGCCCCTCCCCCCCCCCCCCCCCCCCTTGATAAATCCTCTATGATTACCTCCATAAAATGGAAACCAGCCTAACGAGGAAAGGAACCGAAAAGTGAAATTACTTCCCTTCAGAGGTTTTTAACTGTCTAAGATAGAAAATACTTTACCCACTCAGCCCTGATTTGAAACAAAACTTTTAAGTTTGGTTTTATCGGCTCTAACCATTACCCCATGCCGCCAAATGAGGAAAGGGAGTAGGGGTGTGACTTGGGGGTAGATGTTACCCTGTCCATGTGAGCCATCAGCGGTGCAGATGAATAGGTGCTATGGGTATAAAATCTCACCAGTGCCTGTGAAAGTGCTCAAGTGGCCCTCCAGCATGAAAACTCCTCAAGACAATCACTTATACTAACAACCAGTTCCCACTTCTCTTCGATAAAACTTAACTCTTTTTTTTTTTTCATTATTGTAATGACACTGTCTAAAACATTCACTTTCCTACAACAATCACCTTTTCCTCAACTGACAGTGACTGCCTTGGACAATTTTGACTGTATGTCCTGACTACCATGCAATGATTAAATTTGAAATCCTTATTTTCTGTACAATCCAAATGAGGATAAAAATTTGGTTTTTCTTTTTTCAGCTTTCAACATGCATGATGCTTTCGAAGGGAAGAAAGGCTACCACAATCAACGATGACAGGATGTTGGCCGTGACTAGAACCGTCCCGTCCTCTTCCAGAGACAGTGGTGGACTTCTGAAGTGTTGGGTTTTTTTGCATGTTCAAAGGAAAACACCAGCATATCTAGACTTGTTCCCAAGGGCTTTTCACATTGACTTCAGTATTGTTTTGTGAACACGTCTCAAATTGTATGGAACGCGAACATTTTACTTTTAAGTGCATGTTTTGCCTGAAGAATACCTAGGGCTGAATCGGTCAAACTTATTTGACGAATGGAACAAGAACAAATGGATGACATGGATGACTCTTGTTTGTAGAAGTGTAAAAAGATTCTGCCGCAGTATTCATTTTTAAACCCAGCTCTGATAGTCGTGCTAATTAGAGATAAGTGACACATGGTGCCCCCAGCCCCAATATCTTTCTAGCACCGAGCTGATTACGAACTGTAACATGTTTTTATCTGGACCTTGTGCCATTTGTAATTGAAAATCTTATAAAAAAGATTGTTTTTAATGCTGTAAACATTGATTGGCTCTTTGTCCTTTGTTTTGAAAGCATAGCAGGGACACTGTGGAGCTTTGCAAATTGTGTAGAACAGTAAAAAACAGCATGAGCCAGTTCCTTAAGAATATTTTTTTAATACCTATTGCAAAAGTCAAATTAAGAACATTTTGAAAGTTGTACATTTTTGTTGAAATATATCATGTGTATGTTCCCAAATACTTACAGTCTTTTCCAAACCAAAATAAAAACCCCTCCGAAATCATCAGTTGCTTTTACTCTCAATTTGAATAGACCCATCATATATTGAAATTGCCCTGGGGTTTTTTGTTTGTTTTACACAGTCTGTTAATGATATAGTATTTTGTTTTAACTTTCAACTCCTGTGCCCTGAGTTTTTAACCCATTTTTGCCTTTATGATGTACTGGTACGTCACGAAAATGTGTAATTTTTAGTTTTGTGCTGTACAATTGATGTCGTGGAAGTTACCGAAATTGGCCATTTCTGGCCCCTATATAACGCTACATGTATGTCATACTAATCATCTGGCTCTAACTGTTCTGTACGGAGATTTAACCACTAGAACAGCATGGATTTGTATTTGGGAATAAAAAATGCACATATGGGTGCCAAAGTTGCTAGTATTAGTTTACTGCTAGGCTTGCAAGAGATCAATAAACATAGGTCTAGTCTTGTGGACAACTGCATGCTCTCACAAAAGATAAATACCAATACAATGGCTCTTAAAAAGCTGAAAATTTCAATAGTGTCTTAGATTTGCAATTTTTTAAAAAAATTATGGGTAAAATGAGGAATGTAGGGAATGAGGCAGTAGGAAGGCACACCCCTTGACTAGGAAGGGGTTAAAGTAGTATATTATTATCGGCAGTCTAATAGGTTTAATTTGCATGTTGTTACTTCCCCTTTTTTCTCTCCTGGCATATTCTTCATCATCGACCTTTCTTATCCAATGCTGAAGTGAAGGCTAACAACATGAGCTCCCCAAGTACTTCTGTCCTGGGCTACAGTCTCCACCTCTGTCTTGCTGTTTCCCATCTCCTGTAAGTTTGAATTTAAGTCCCACCTCCAAGTATTTTAAGGCTTACCTTACTTTCTCTGTGAATTCCAGTCCTGGTATTTAATGTTTGTTTTTGGTTTTCTACAGGTGTGTCTAATCCTCTTCCTTTTTCTCTTCCTGATTTATGTATCTATTTTCTGATTACAGTCAGACTCTGTTATACCGCCTACATTGAGACTAGTATGAAGTTGGCGATACAGCAGGGCTGCTGGTATAACAGTAACAGGATAGCATTGATTGCCATCTCTACTTGTTGTAGACTAGTAAAGACTAGAGACTAATCGTAGCAAGTCTTGACTCATCTTCCCATTTCTTGGAATGGGTCCTTGAAATCTGATGGACAGATCATGCAGTGTTCGTGATTACCAAATCATCATTAATAGCGATGGGATCATCATAAGTCTGAAGTGTGAGCTTTTGTCTTTGATAAAGAGAAAAACTTTGGTCTTTTTAAATTAAAAATCTTAATGAAAGGTATTATAAAAGGGTTTCTTGACTTTATTCAAACTTTTACTTACCTTAATTTCTTAAAATGCAGGGTGATTATAAAAGATTGAACTGATTTCATAACACTAAATTTTAATAAGAAAAATTAACAGAAAACTCAAGCTAAGTCACAGGTGTTGTACTCACAATCAACTTTTATTTCCTGTTTAAAGTGTTCAAACCCCCCCCCCCCCCAGTGCAGTGCTACTGGCTGAAGTGTCTTTAGGCCATTCCCAAAGAGGGGATATTAACATGTTCTTATAACTTATGCACAGAAGAATTGTAACTGGGCTCATTTATCAATGTCATACTCATACTGTGCCGGAACAACATAGGAGGGAACTGATGCTTTTTCTTTCCTCATCCTTATTGTCATTTTTCCTCTACTTCTTTTGTCATGTTTGTCACTCTCTTGTGAACTGACATTTCTGGGGTGCCTTGATAGTCGAAGCAGACCTTGTGCTGTTGAGGCTAGAGAGGTGAGCAGCGTAAGCCTGATTCCTCGTTTGAACTTCTCTGTTGACATCCACCTCTTGAAGCTCATATGAGCTTATGCAGTTGCGAGCGCCGTAAAACCTTACAAAAAACTAAAGTGTTCAGTGTGGCCAACAACAGTAGCATGGGCAACATCATTGTGGTAAGAGAATTCATCCCAAATACGTTTCAGCATATCACGGCCCGCTAACTTGATCGCTGTTGTCATTTGATGTTTAAGGTCATCGATATTAGCATGTAGCAGTGGAACATACACATGTTGAGGTCTGGGAATCTGGGGGGCTAAGCACAGAGACTAATCCATTGGTGGGGCACCAGGTTTTGCCAATGTACGAAAAAAACGCCTATAAAAACATAACATTTTTGTTTTCAGTCCGCCATCCGCCTACTCTCTGAGTTGTAGTCCTTATCAGATACACACACACACATTCTTATCAATGCATCCTGCACACACCACACACACGCACGCACATGCACACACATGCCTGTACTCTTATTAACTCTTATCCTGCGTCAGTGCCCAGATGCGTATCTTATCAGCAACCGATTACGTCGGACGTGCCGGGCAGGCCGCCGGGGTCACTTAGTGTGTACTGTTGGTGTACAGCACGCGCACTGGGAAGCGTGTGTTTTCGCCATGAATACCGCGGGAGTGTGATAACTGATGATGAAAATAACGCTCTATCTTTCATAGCTTTCTATTTATAAAGTGCTACAAACACATGAATAACCCCCTCTCACAAGCTGATAAGACATTACGAGTAGTTACGCCCATTCGAATAACCTTTCTAGACGCTCTTGTTGTTATGAATGACCTGAGGTTCGAAAGGGGATAATTTAGGTCAATTTCCAAATGTTTTACACTCAAATTGTTCTTTGTACCTGCACAATGGTATTCAAAACTATCAAACAAGCTTATGTTTTATCAGGTAGTATCATTTCGTACAAATAAAGCTCATTTGAAATATTTCGTATAGAAAAATGGAATTCTTGTTTCCTGACTATCTTTTCGAGCTCCTCATGTCTAAGTGGGTCAATTTCTTCTATAATTTCATTGGACGAACATCTAGAGCTACCAACTTGGCATGTTTTGAATGAGACTTATGCCTCTATTACGAACCAACGCAGGCGGTTTGAGAGGAAGGTCACAAACGCACACAAACTCAAGCAGACTGACGCACACACACTTGACCTGCATGAACGGGGATCCGACTCGGGACCCGAATAACACCTGAGAGGATGCGCGTGCGCTGAGCCAGGGGCTACACTGATTCGGAACCAGAACGTAGGCGAGGTGCCGAAATAGGCTTATCGGGCGACATAAACCCGGCTCCAGCAGGATGAGGGTTAACATGCCACAGTGATAAGATAACTCTTGGTCTAATCTCCTAGATCTTTCGGAAGTACTAGAGAGGGTCGAAAACCATTGTCACTGCTTTAGAAACGACGCTCGCTATATTTCCCTATACATTACATATATATGTAATATGTAATTTCATATACATATGGGTTGAAAAAGACCCCCAATGTATTTGGAGGGGATAGAAAGTTTGAAATGTCACATACGGTAAAAAATTTTAATTAACAGAATATCGGCGATAGAATATGCTGTAAGACATGGTAAATTTAGACTAGATTAGGGGCTGAGGTCATTTGCATGTTGACAGCCCGCTACAGCAATTCTTGGACCCTCTTGGTCATTCTCGACTCACGACCGCCAGCGAAGATTAATTTTGTGAGCCTTAGGACTGACGAGTATCCGGTACAGAAAAACTGTACAGGGTCCTTGATGCATAACCTTGCTTCTGATTCATGAAAAATCTTAAATTTTGAATTTGTGTAAATTTCAACTGACGCTGAATGTAATTGATTGCTACTCGTTCAAGTGAGTGAAGGCGCCACTGTTTGTCCCTACTCTAGTCTTTACACTGTCAACCACAAGTCAAGATGGCAATCGTTGCTAACCTGTTATACCGCCAACTTCATGCTTATCCCTAGGTAGACAGTATAACAAGGTTTGATGTATTTGAGGTCTTTGCTGTACCAGGCAACACATAATCATGGCCAAATAATTTCTGATGTCCCTTGTTCATGTTCTGAACAAGGTTAATAATTTTGAGGTAATGATAGCTGGGTTTCTTTCTCATACCCTTGAGCTGACAGTCAGATCTTTATCTCACTGTGCAGTCAATTTATTCGGCCCTGGCCATTTGATCTACATGATACAATATAGGCCTAGCTAGAGTCATTCCTTTCCTGACAGGCAGCTACGTGCCTTGTCGAAGGTACTCTTAATATTTATACTGACTAGAGGGGTTTTAGATTTTAGTTTTTGGTAGAAATTAATTTTGAATTTAGCCTGAACAGTGATTTTAGAACCGCCAAGGGATCTTAGTAAAAGTGTGGAACTTCCTCGTGAGACCTCAGAAATTTTCCTCCTTATTGAAGAAGAATACCGTCGTAAGCTGACACAACGCCTTTTTTTCATTTTTAGCCCAATTGTTTTAAGAACTTGCTTAATCGATAGCCTGATCAGTTACCCTACTTCTGTGAAAAAATTAAAGGGAAACTGTGACTAGTTTTTTAAATAAATATTAGAATTCAAATTTTCGTAGAACACCTTTTTTAAATGGTTACTCTGACAAAATGCCTTTTTAAATTGAAACTGGTGTGAATGAGACAAAGGCGTTGTGTCAGCCTACGCCAGAATAGGTGCTCAATTTTACCTACTCTAGGATCAGGTGTAGAATAACACTAATAGGAGACGAAAACTTGATGGTGGCAGAAATAGAACTTCTGACCTCTAGGTTGATAGGTGAACTCCATTCCTGTTGAGGTACTGAGCCCCCATATGTTACTGGATTCTTCAAAGGATTTTAAATCTGCACTTATGCTTATATAATTACTATTGTCATAGTATTGCTGAATCATCAAGAGCAAGAGTTGATTAAGAGAAGATACCCATTATCCTTGAATGTATAGTTGTTCTGCTGCAGAATTGATCTATGATCAAACATAACACAGGAACTTTGTGGCCTGGTTTATTATTAGATACATATATCTAGGAGTTGTTGGTGATGTCACCCCTCTGATAGTATTGCTTGCAGTGTGGGCCTGGATAACATTTTAATCGAGTGGAGATTTTTAATCTTTTTTGGTCATTCACAAGTAGTTTCTATTTTGCTTCTTTTGCGTGTGCTGTAAATACGTTTTTTTTATCATTCGTGACACATGTAAGAGGCGGAAGGATTGTTCAAGTGCAGACTCATGTTTTTGAGTCAAGTTAAGAAAGATTTTTACAAGTTTTTAAGTGAGAAAGATAACAATGATATTTCACCACTGCCACTCTCTCTCTCTATGCTGACTGACAGTTGTTCACATGATGGTGAAGCGGAAACAAATATTTTGGGCAAAAATGGCATCAGCTTCTATTGCGTATTAATAAGCACGGAGCTTTTTTATCATTTATACAATGTTTAATATTATTGTATGTATACATTATCTGCTTATGTCATGTTTTAAAGTGAAAGACAACCGTCTTCGTGTATTTCTAATGGTCTGTGCCAATCTCGTCTATTTATTGGCTTTTATTTTTATGACTTGTTGCATTGTAGTGACAACAAAAGTCCAAGTACATTATATAGTATTAGTGTACCGTGTTCTAGTTCTATGCTATCATTCCCACTATCATAAACAGAAATGGTGAGGGTGATGACTGCTCTCT